AAAGATTATTCCACCACAATCAAAACGTATTATTTACACTCCAGCGTAGAGCCGGTCTCCAGAGCTCATAACTGCGTCCTGTGGGAGAGACGGGGGAAGGGGCATTGCATTCTGCAGCCCGCCGATCAATACCGTGATTAATGGAGCTAATTCTACCAGGACACTGCGGATCATTACTTCCTGCTCTCCGTCTCCGCCTTCCATCCTGTCTATATGCAGGCCAGCGTGGATAATGTGTTTGCTTCTCTAATGAGAGTCCCGCAGAGAGGCAGAGGACCTTCGGAGGGTAAAGCCGCGCACGGCGGGTCCTCTGGGACTCCCGCGGCCGCGACCTTCGCCCCAGCGTCCACCGCTGACGACCTGTTGACCTGAGATGTCATCCTGCATACCTGTCTCATAGCAACGTTTCATTACAGGACGGAGACTTTCAGACTGGGTGACCGCGACCAGGGAGATGAGTAACAGCGGTACTTTTAGCCAGCTAGCTAGCTGCCGCTAATGCCCCATGAATAAGGCTTCTTCTTAACATTACCAACAGCCAACAAAACCAAAACCCAAATCTCTTGTTGACATTGACCTTGAGCTCCGTCTCAGGGTAATATGATGCGAGTTTGTGCTGCACGGCCACCTGGGACCGCTGTTTGAGGCTCAATTTCTCAGCATGACCTCAACAAAATATGCACTTGAGAACGTTGCAGGACAAGAGAGGGGGTGGGGGGGGGGTGGGGGGCAGTGACTCCATCAACTATTAAAGTAAAGCAAAATACTTTTACTGCATCTCTAAAGATATTAAGCCCATAAGCAGATAGTACTGTGTTTTTATTTGTTCATGTTGAGTAGCATCAAGCTCAAGCCACCAAATCCACCAACGATGGTGAGAGGGCGTTTCTTTCATGTGCATTGAAACATATCATTTAAAGTTGTTTGTGCTGTACACAAAATGCAAGTCAACGAATGCCTTCTTTTGAAATGTAACTGTCATGTAATGTCCTCTCTACTGAAAGTCATCGTTATTGTTATGTTTCACATAGTTGTCGGTAATCAGAGGTTAAGAGTAGTACCGCTACGCTCAAAGATGAGGGAAATGCGTATTGGTATGTAACGCAGCAGATGGTCCTCAACGCTTAGCCTGAATCCATATTACCTTAATCTACATAGTAAGATAGTGCCTGCAGCGCCGAGCTCATCAACTTGATTGTTGGTCTGGGCCTTATTGTGCCTTCATCACCATTAGACCCAATGCTCACTTGGAGGGATTGCAAATGGACGCTACAGGGAGCAAGTGAAAGTACAGAAAATAACTATTTTCTTCATTTATGTCCGTTCTTTGTCAAGTTCTCTTTTCCTTTGGGTTTCAATCCATCAGCCCCATACCAGTGAAGGTAATGATGTGAACATGGGACACGTAGCAGCAGTGTCAGGAGACATCTGGAGAATCAGAAACTAGAAAGCTTAATCGAAAGAAAATGTTGCCAATTACAAAAAGAAGAATCCAACAGTGCAGAAATACTTTCAACAAAAGCACAATGCATCTCATTTGATTGTTTGCAATGTACAAAATGCCTTTGGTGTCTTTTCATGTGCAAGCACCTTTTGTTCAGAGCAAATGTAAGCGAAAAGGTGCACAGACCAAAATAACATTAGGAACCAATGATGGGAATGATAGAAATTGTAAAGAGACTGTCTGTCTGTTTTAAAGGCAGGAGACACAGAAGTGAGAATTTCTTTGTGGAATCAGAGGCCGGTGCATTGCAGCAGAGACGTGTCGTTCATTGTTAAGGTGCTGTGTTAGAAATCATCTGAATTCTGGTGTCCTTAAAGAGGTTTATTGCTGGCAAAATTTGAAGATGGTCTATTCTGTTGTATGTCAACCTTCTTTATCGTTGCAAATCACTCTGCATTTGAGTGGACTTGGAGTATTTCATCTTTAACACTCCAACTGGGAACGTACCAGTTCACCTCTTTGAAGAAATAATAGAGGATCTCTGAATGGATATAGGTGGAATGTTGACATATGATCAAGCTCTGAATACAGAAGATGGAAAGTAAAGTTGGCAAAAAAGATATATTTTAGAGTCCAGCTATGGTTCTTTCACGAGCAATTAGATAGGTTTGAGAAACGGGTATGAAAAGACTTGGCGTCTCTTCACCATCTGTCACTGTATCCATGACTGAGCTTGGCTGTATTCCGGAAGGGAATAGCACGACTATACATACGTGAACACGAGCATGAACTGGACAAGGATTCATGGCATCGTCTTTCTAAAAGTGTTTATTGATTGACAGAGCGGTTTTACAACAGACACAGTGAGACATCGGAGCGCCGATGACGCGGCTGGACGGGTCAATTGACTGTGAGCTAAACCCGGTCCTCCATAGTTGTTGTGCCTGTCAAGCGTTTTCTTTATCGCACGGCCCATTTGCAATTTAGAAAGATAACAGAAGCAGAATTTATTCTCTAGTAAATTCAGGCGGCTTCTCCTTTCTGGCTGACAACTGGACATTTTGTCTGCAGAAATAACAACTATCGCTAGCAGATTTGATCTAGTAGCTCAATCTGCCTCTAGCAATGCTTGAAAATAATACATCATTTCCCTTGTATTTACTAATACTAATACTTAGTTTATAGTATTTATATAGTAATTATACTAAAGATGTAAAGAAAAAGATGCTGTCAGACTGACATCCTTTAACACGAACATGTTAAGCCGCTTAGCTAACAGACTACGACAAGACGGGATACATTTAAACCTCATTCTGTGTTTTAAGCCTCATTATGCTGCAATGAGGCTTAGTGGATGAAGTCAGACTAATGTTTTCGGGGAACAAAACTTTGGTGGGGATTGCTTAAACATCCCCTAATCCAACAAATGGCATCACAGAACTGCCAAGTGGACTAAACGTTGCATTGAGGACCGGCCTCCACAGACAGGAGATTGGTCTTGTTAGAGATTTAAGCAGACGAGCAGGAAATTATAATGCGTGTGATAATGATTAGTGTTAGAATTGTAGTTTGTGTGTTATTTGATATTAGTTATTATATTAGCCTGTTGGATTAATAACTGGAGCATGAATAAAACACAATTTAGAATCATTTACGTGACACTGGACACACAACTGTTGCTTCTGTCAGTTATTATTTATTTTTTTAAACTCGATTCAGAACTCTTTTTGACTTCTGGTCTCCTGCCGGGTCCTGCCACAGTCCAGTACAGTCTAGTACGGAGTGAATGGGCTAGTTGTGCCACACACTTTCCCTCTTGTCTTCTTATAAAAAGAAGACCTGCTGTGTCTGGGTACAGATGCTTGGACTGGACAGCCCGAGGGGCGTACAGAACACTCAATTTAAAAAATGAGTGAGTTGGCAGTGAGGTGCTGGGTTAAATATTACTCTGTGTGACTTTTTTTATAGGTTTATAACTTTTTTTCTTCCAGGCCAAAGCGACAGCTTGACCTTCAGCTGCTTCACTCCGCTCTGCTAATGAGATATATGGTCCCTAAAAGGGGCCATTAAGCAGCGCACCGTAAGGACCCGCTTAGATGAAAACGTAGTACTTTGGTTGCCGTCGTAATCACTCAAGTTTTGAGCCAATGTCAGCAAGAGGAAGAGGGGGAGGAGTCTGATAAAAACAGCAGCGTGGAAAACCCGCCCATGTCACCGTAAGTCACGTCAGAATCAATATTTTAGCCTTTCCACCGCAAAGGAGGCGGCTGGGCCCACGAGGTTGGTCCACGCTGCAGTTGTGAGCTTGACATACTTGCAAATACCCCTTCTCACACACACACACACACACACACACACACACACAACCTTGCTTGCAAAGCAATATAGGCTTTGTAAATAAACTGCTTACTTCTTAAACACCCACACTTCACTTTGCTCATTGCACACATGTGGACATAAAGTAAAAGAAAGGCATATTTTTCGTGCATGGGTCTACACACACGCACTCTGTATTTGCAGGGATGGAGTGGGAATAGACAATGGCTCAGGAAAAAGCACCGATCCAAACATAGCTGGGCGTATAATGCCTTTGTCCAAAAGCAGAGAGGCAATTTCACCACCGAACAGCGCTGCGATGAGAACCGATGTGTTATCCCAAAGAGTGTAATTTCACCACGCACACACACACACACACACACACAGTAAACTTGCTCGACCTCACCTTCTTTGTTGTAAGTAACTGTATGTCTAACGTGTCCCAGCAAAGCCAGAATAAACAGTAGCAGGCCGTAGACGGCTCCGGTTTCACATTCAATCTGCAATAAACGCCAACGCCGCACCGCTGGGATCGTACATCCAAAGCAGCGATTTCTATCACGCCACCTAAAAATATAGCAGCACACAAATGGGCTGCTAGGGCTCTCAGGCCCAGATCAACAGACAGTTATCTCTGAATCACAGGCTACGTTTGTATTTATTTCTGGAGTTCAGTCTGAGCTACTATCCCTCCCGTGTCATGGGCATAGTGCAGCGTTGTTAGCGTGTGGGAGAGTAAGATCCTCCAACTAAAACAAGGTGCCTTTATATGGTAAAAGCAAGCAGCGCCTGTTGGACGGCAGCGTGGGCCAGTTGGTTTCTACTCTCACTTGGAAGCTGTAATATTGCAACAACTATTGGATGAATGCCATTGAGTTTGGTACATTTATCCATGTTGCCAACGACAACACATCCTAACACCTCTGTTGATTAACTGACTTTGGAGAAATCCTCAGTTAAACTTTAAATTCATAGTTCAATACTTCCCATTAGTTGCACCTGATGGTGAACATGGAAACATCACACCTGCTGAACATCGGTATGTCAGCATCCTCATTGTGAGAATGTCAGCATGCTATGTTAGCATTGAGCTTAAAGGACCTCAGTACAGCTTTGCATTTTTTCAAATGATTGTGGCCTCATTGATCTTCGTTAACTACAAATCATGTATGTACAGTAAGCGCACACCAGCACTGAACACACAAGTCCAAATGTGGGCAGAAAGGGTCGGAGGCAGATCTTAATCATGTATTGATCAATTTATTCATTCTGTCAGGACACGTTTCCCCGTTGTCCCAAAGTCTTACACAAAGAAGTCATTGTGAGATGTCCAATTTGTTTTGACCAGAAAACAGGAAAGAAAGAAAAACCAATATGTGATCATGAAAACAGACGCACATTCAAAGGCCCGCTCGCTGTGACGCGGGGGCGCCGTGGTCGCTGGCTCCTTTGCTTGAGCCGTGTTTGATTTGCCAGTTACCCATCGGATCTCCCTAAGAGGTCCATAATGTACCACTGAAATCTTTTGTATTCCATTGTACCTGGAGGTAGGGATGGGGGGGCATGGGGGGGTTAGGGTACACTCAAAATGTACAAAAATAACTGCAAACAGGATTGTTAAGAGAAAACGCCCTCGTGTTGAGGGGTTCCAGAGCCACGATGAGCAGAACGCTTGGATGAACAGTAAATGCTCGCATGCACGTTGACACAGGCACTGATCTTGACTTGGTGCGTCCTCAGTCAGGAGACAAGAGCATTCTGGGAAGTGCGAGCTCTCCCAAACAAGGCAGTCAACAGGATTCTTTTTAAGAAATGGTCTGTTCATTCACAAGCAACCACACGCATTAAGCATTTTGGATGCACACTTCTTCTAACTGAGGGCATAAAAACAGCATCGGCTAATCCGATGACACACTCGCAAGCTCTAATTAGCCTGATTTCTGTTGTATGGAAATGAGAAAAGTAACAGTAACAAATATCTTAACACACAAAAATAGTGGCTTTACTCCAGAACCTTCCTTATGATACAATACAGTACTCTCATTACAGGCTGACCCCACTGTATAGTCTGTCCAGAACAGCTCAGCAAGCCAGTGCTGAGACCTCTGGGTAATGTAATAAAAACCATGAAATACCAAACAAATGAAAAACAAAAGCGATATATAAAACAAAATGAAAATAAAACCGCAAAACCAAGCACAAGTAGTATAATCTATAATTAAGGCGAGTTAAAATATTGCAGAATAATTTGGCCCCTGTGATTTAAATAGACTGCCACAACAGTCAGAGCTCCCTGACTCTTAATCGCTGCAAGGATCCAGAGAGGGGAACAGAGGACGAACTGAAACAACGAAAAGAAAAAGGAGCAAAATGTAATCCTCTTTGGAGAGAAATTATTATTTTTTGGTTTCATTTGGTCTCTTCCTCAGGAGCGCGTTAAAGGGAACGGTGAGGAGCTCCTTACTGAAAAGATTTACAATAAAATAAGTCAAATTAAAAAAAGAAAAAGAAAAAAGGAACAACTACAGAAAAGGGGTTGAAGATTGGTAATGTGATTAACTCGTGTTTATCTGAGAAGGTTCATCTTTTGACGCGATGGGGGGCACCGAGATCAGAGAATAGAAAACTGGTGTTTCATAAACAACCTGATATGATGGATGACAATGCAGTGCCGTGTGTGTGTGTGTGTGTGCGTGTGTCCCTCCGTGTTAGTCCTCCCTCTGATTAAGAGCAGTCTGGCAAAGAATTAAAAGAGCAAAGGGGGGGAGAGGAAGTCAAGTTTCCGAGATACAAAGTGATAGCAATCCTCCTGTTTCCCCCCCCCGGGACTGACTGTCACGTATCAGGCAAAGGTCCCCCATAAACGGCCCCTCTGCTCCCCCTGTTAGTTAAAAAGGCGCAGGGTTAGCGGAGTCCACTTCCTGGGGTCGCCTCCTGTGTGAGGGGCCACCAGCAGGCCGTGCGGTCGGTTACGAGGGTCCGAGCGAAGGTATCGGAGAGGAGGAGCCGTGGCTGCGTCCTGTTTGCACACGGCACGCCCCTCCTCCGTGAAGGCGAGGGGGCTCTCCGTCCTGTTTTCCCACCCGCTCGCCCCGCCTTCACCCCTCCCCTCCCCACCCCTCCCCCGCCCCCGCCCCTCAGACCCATTCCTGCATGGAGCGTTTGCAGTACAGTATGTGGCGCGGCGTGCCCTTCCTCTTGAACTGCACCACGGTGTAGACCAGCACCAGCAGGCACAGCGCCAGCACGCACGGGATGACGATGGCCACGGCCTTCACCGCGTTCGCCTCGTTGTCCAGCTCGATCACCACGTCCGAGCCGTCGGCGGCGGCGGGGGGCCGGGCGGGGTCGACGGGCGTCAGGTCGCAGCCCATGAAGTCCTTGAGGATGGAACGCGGGTAGCCCGGATCCACCCGCAGGAACTGGTTGTTGAACTTCCAGTACTCCTTGCCCTTGTAGAAGTAGGTGAATCCTGAGGGGGGAAAGAGAGAAAACAGGAACCCCGTGAGTACGTCGTCGTATCCACAGGAGGAGGAGGGCAAGACAAGACTTGCCTCAGCTGCTCTTTAGAAACTTTGTAAATAGAATAATATCAGTATAAAGCCCAAGGGACAGTCACACCACAAGCTCAGTATTTAAAATAAAGTCAAATAACATAAACCTTCGAGTGACGGAAAGGTCGCCGGTTTCACGCGTCTCACAATGTAAAAATGGGGAGAAAAGCATTCAGTTTTTGTTACTCAGCAAAAGTAGTAAAGTCAGTTAATAAAGCTCTATTACAGGTACATTCTACTGTATACAACCACACTGAAACAAAATATATCTAACAAATATAGCGTATAATAGTTCCTTTTGAAAAGTATGTAAGTATTAAAATTGTACTGGAGAACAAAACCTCACTAAATGTACTTAATGTTACATATCAATCATCATCTTAGCGTTTGTGCCATTTTGGTTTGTTTACCTTCAGAAATGCCCATTTATTTATTTCCAATACACACCTGACAGCATTTCCATTTCTCTCGCACTGAAGGACAACCTGTGTGTCCGTGCTTAAGCTTCTTCAGGCGTTTTGTCTGCTCTGAGCTTAGTTCAGCTCTCGCTGTCAATACAGGGAGAGCGTTTTCTTTCTAATTAAAACACGGTAACAAACTCCTTTTTTTTTCTTCTCCTCGGAGAAACAAAAAGACTGATTGAACTGAAGCGCCGTGCCAATAACCCGCCAGGACAATCAATCGAGTCTGCTGCTGTGCCGTTGAGCCACCGTTTCCGTTTGGTCTCTATTGTTGGGCTCACATGTCTCAGACTGTCCCTCGGGACTAATTAGATCTGGTCATAAAAGAGTAAACACACAGCAACCAGGAGCCCAACCCCAAAGCTAATATCACACAGCAGCAGGGTAAATGTCATCTGCTGTGGAGCTTTTTAAATCGCAAGAGTGACATTTGATTGGTACGGGGTTGTGGGGGCAATTCTCGCTTTGTCACAATTCATAAGTCTACTTACAGAGTTCCTAGAGGAGAAAACAGAAAAAAAAATCCATCTGTATTTGAGCAGCGAGCAAAGAAAATAGTGACAGAAGCTGACACACATTTTTACAGCAAACATTTTGTCAATGAATAACTGTAATGTGACAATATCAAGTTCGACAAAAAGCATAACGTGTTGTGAATTGACCGCTTGAAGGCTGGTAGGGGCACAGAGAGCAAATCTAAAGGAGTGAAAGGCCTCAGATCTTATTCAAGGTAAAATGAAGGCAACATGGGCGATACTTGTTGTGTAACACAAAGACTCCCCTCACGTGGACATTTCGCATTAACCCGTCGCAATCGCATCACAAAGGCAACAAATTGCTAGTATCAAAAATCTCCTTTCTCGACATTTGGATCAACATGACAACATTTTCAGGAGCAAAAGGAAAAGGATGCAATTCTAAAGAGTCAGCTAAAAAGATTTTAGAGAACGTATTTTTGAGGAGGAGGAGGACGTTTCTAAGGTTTACAAATCTAAAATGAAAACAAAATTGAGCTGACACCAAATGACCCTGTTGTAACAGTCAGGGCTTTATAAAGCGCCGGGTGGGAGAAGACGTGAGGAAATTAAAAAGCCTTCCAAGGATTCACCTTAGAAGGAAAGGAAATAAATACTAGTTTGAAGCAATGTCCAAAGTCCACAGCAGAATATCCACTTCAAGCTCTTATCTCTGTCATCACTTTTTGGTGTTTATTGTTGCCCGGCAGACTGTGTGCTTACACAGCGGACATCTTACAACAAATGTGTGAGTAGTAGGAAATCACAGAAGAAGAACCGCCTACAGACTTGGTGTCCAAACAATTATGTCATCATGAAGACGAGCAGAGGGAAACCAGTTAAGCAGAACCCCATCCCATCATTTCTCCAGTGTCATTTGACTCGTCTTCCTCTCATGAAGGATCCCAGCTCGGCCCTCAAAGACGCACCGTGTGCAGTGTGTGCAACATGTGGTTGTGTAGAAAAGGAAACACCAGCCAGTCTGCACACACACACAATTTGTCCACCAAATTTAGAGTCCAGCTGAGTAGTGTGATTAGCTGCAAAAAAAAAAAAAAGCTGTAATGGGATTTTTCCTTTCCAATCCGGCAGCAGCCTCTGCCCCACTTTTCTGCTGCACTAAACCCAAATGAAACGAAAACCAAGTCATTAAACGGGCGACGAGATTATTCAGATAAGGCAACAGATAGATGGGACAAACACACAGGGGAGAGAGAGAGATAGAGAGAGAGAGAGAGAGAGAGAGAGGTGAGGCAGCCTGAGTCATGGGGGGTCAGGGCCAGGTCAGTGTCGCCCTGGAGCCTCCTCCTCTGAAGTGTGTGCCCCCCCCCCACACAGACACACACACACACACTATCCTCATCATCATCATCATCAGCGGCCGATTCACTGATGCCGGGTCACACGGCTCCCTGTCATGAGCCACTTCACCGCCTGCACTCAGTCGACCGAAGCGGAGAGTGAGCACGTGACGCCCGCGAGCACCCGTCACCCCCCTCCACCCCCCGCCCGGATACCGATCCACCCTCCACGCTCCGATTGATGCCCGCTCCACCTGTTCTCTGCCGGCAGACGAGCCCGGGCTGCAGATCTGGCAGCGGGACCCGAGGAAACAGATGGCGGGAGCCGTTCAGCACCACCTGGCCTGCTTTTTCCATCCCGGGGGCCGTGCCAGGACCAGGCCCAGTCCCACCTGGTACTACACATCCAATGGGAGAAGCTGCTAAGTGTCTTCACGCCATCAGACCGGCTCTTTGGAAGCTATAATCCCCCCCCCCACACACACACTACAGTGAGGGCCAACTGGCTTAAACCGGAATGAGAGCCCAGCGGTGGTCTTGTCCCTTTTCTCCTTTCCACAATCCCGCTCCAACTGGGTCTCGTGGCGCGCTGGGCAGGGTGGACGGATTGCTGCTCAGTCTGACGGTTGGACCAATTCAAAAAGGGACCTCTCTCCTTGTGTCCGCATGCGCAAACCGTCCACCCGCTTGCCTTCCCCCGACATCGCATGTACACACGCGTGCCGCCCACCATGTAATAACTGGGGCGAGTCTCGATCGATGTAACCCTGTTTTACCTCCGGCACTGAAATCAATGGCCGGCTGGCACACGCCGAGCGCTGTCATTGCCAAGTGAGAATATCGGGCGGGACAACGCGTACCGTTGGCTTTGTCCACGAAGGCCCCCTGCGGCGAATCAGGCACACCTCTCCACACTGTGACGGGCTTGGGATATCCGGGGTCCATGGTCCTCATTTCCTCATTGTAACGCCAGTACCTGAACAAAGGAACAAGCTATTACGTCTCATATCTCCTATCTTAATAATCCTGACACACCTAAGATGAACGCAGCAATCTGACTCAATCTCTGCCGTAAACCAGCACCTGGGCTTCGGGTCGATCCTATATGTTGGACGTAAAATCAGGCTTGACCCGAGCTTGGCTTTTTCTACCTTGGTAAAAATTACATTTTATAAAAAACAATATAGATTTTCTTGAATTTGTTATGTTCAAAACTTAAACAGCAGTTGCATTATGCATAAACCATCAATAGAGTGTGTATTGGAGAATTGGATAATGACAGCTGTGTCCGTATCCCCTATCGGCTATCCGTAGCAATGCTACTACACCTCCACTACAATCAACACAAAGCGAGCGAATATCTCCACTCCAGCTGCCATTTACTGTGTCGGAATTCTTGAAGGGTTTTTTCCTTGAAGCCCCTCATCATCTGTGAAGAACAGCGCTCCTCCTCCTCCTCCAGCTGCACCCACCTGTCCCCTTTAAAGAAGTAGGTCTTGGCCACGTCCTCCCACCACACGGCGGTCTCGATGCTCTGGGCCGGCATGCCGTGGCCGAACTGGGCGATGTCCTTGGGGTACCCGGCCTGCAGCACCGTGTCCTTGAACACCCAGAACTGTTTCCCTGCACGTCGAGAAAGAGAGGAAGGCAACAATTAGCAGGACGAGTAACAGCCGGGGTTACGCTCCAGGAGCAGCAGACGAGGAGGCCACATTTACAAGGACAGACGCGAGCCTTGTAACGAACGGCGGGCGATGACCTGTTGTCTCGTATTACTGTATCCGATGTTGACGTTCCCCTAATTTAAAGTAGGACAGGCGCTCGGTGACTAATTCTCCTTGCCCTTGCCTCCAGACTGGTTGGAGACTTTGCATCGCTGGCAAACGGACTCGGGTCGGGATGGGAAAACCTAAAGAGGCCCTTTGTGAAAAGCTTACAAGACCAAAGGATATTTTTTTTGGGAAGGACAAATATGTCATCTGATTTCTGTTCTGTGCCTTTTAGTCTCTAAACCTTACTCCCACGGAGTCATCGGGCTAAATTGCACGTCTTTGACACAGCGTGACCCCAGGAAGTGCTTTTCTCCGTCGCTGGGTGTAAACGGAGGAAGTGCGCGTGGGGGTGAGGGGAGCAGCACTGATTTGCAAGAGAGAGAGAAAAATATAGATATAAAATATTATTATGCCCCTCAGTCTTTGCCAAAACATGTCACATGGTATCATTTCCTCAAAGGAAATTTGATTAATCATTTGATATGACACTCACACACGCGTTCAACAACATTCATCACAGATACTATTAAGATGATCGTATCTTCTACTACATAATGTTATGGAATAATCTGAATAATAAATAGAAGTCATTTATTGCAAAAATGAAGATAGAAACCAAGCAGAGAAAACATAAAGGAAGGTACAGTGTCTACATGTATGCATTTGTGTAGCAGACTTTTTCAAAAGGTTAAACATCACATGTTACGGTCCATGAACTTGAAGACTGAGGGACTTTTTGAAAAGGTCACCCTTAAGATGACCCGGGCGATTCTCTTCAACAAATACAGGAAGCGGGTGTGAAATAACGCAGACATGATCCCTCGACCTGCTCTCTTGTTTCATAAAGGCTGTGCAGCTGACATTTGGGCTCCAAGAAGCGTTCCCACCCCACGGCGGAGGTGAGGGAGGGGGATTCATAGAGGGGGAGCGGCCGGGCAGCGCGTCGGCTGCATGTTAAGAGGCAAGGAGAGACCTGTAGTGGCCTCTTCTAGGGAAAGGAAATTCCTGTCATTTCACCCCGATCTCTTACAGCGCTCCACTCATTGTGGGTCACACTTCCTCTGGCCCTGACACACACACACCCTGAGATTAATGGACTCTCCGAGTCTTTTAAAAGAGTTCAACTTGATTCACAGAAAAAAAGAAAATATAATCCCTTCTATGTCTGGATCCCGCAATTTATGGGATTCTACTTTCTTTTAAAATTGGAGTATCCAAATTTGCATATTGGTCCATATAAACGTCTGGCTTGTTCTTACGAGCCGTGAAGGCTGCTTTGATGCAGTGGCATCGGCTTCAGCTTAATGACTAATCCCCTTCTTGTGCGCGCGACACTGTATGAAGAGTGTCAGAGATGAGAATGTGTCCCCAAAACAGACCCCACTCCCCCTAATGCGGGACGCACGTACTGCACAGAGGGTCCTGTTGGAAATTAAACAGCTGGGCTTCAGTTTATCAAACGCAGGCGACGTGTGTAAGGCTGTTTTTGAATATACATTGTGACCTTGACCACAATAGAAACGATGCAGCGGCCCATTCGAGCTCGAAAAAAGGTCAAGGTCATATTTGATTATCACAATAATATCTCCTTGCATTCATTTAGGCCACTTTTCACATTTTGACATTGTTGTACTTCAAAACCTGCCTGACGACAATCAGTCTGATTATTTCTAGCGGACAAAACTCTCTCTGCTTTCACACAACCTTTAACATGCAGGTACGAGCGCCCTCGTGGGAACGGAGAGAAGCAAACATGTAGTCGGAACACGTGGAGCGCCACATTTTATTTTCTGACCGACCCACTTCCCCTGATGTTTCACTCCAAATGGGGAGAGACAGCGTGAAGGCCTACTGGGGAAATCAGCTGTGAATGTACAAATGAAGAATAAATCTGTGCGCAATCCTGTTGCTACACAGTCTGGAGGAGGAGCAAAGTGAGACAATCGCTCTGCATCTCCATCAATCGCTTGGTGTTGGAAATAGAACGAGCTGGGGTGGAGATTGTGGGGGGGGGGTCTTGCTCCCTTTGTCTCTTCTCATCAACACCCTCTCTGTGAGTGTCGGCCGGACCTGCAGGACCGCTGTGCTCGTTTGCTGGTTCTTTTCTGCGGCTTCACGAGCACAGTGATTTTCATCACTTTTGCATACTAATCCTCATTAGCTACAGTGGGAGACTTAAACATACAACTCCCAGCACCCGTCCAAGTGAAAAGCCCAAACTGGTGGATTACAGCAGATTTTCCAACCAAGTGGGCAAAACATTGCTTCACTCTTTCGCTGATTTGCATTTAAACTCCTACGCACAGATACGATCAAGGCCGCTCTTTGAGTGAGCATGATAACATACGGCAGTAATTGGAGATTAAAACAACAAAACAGTTGGCTCGTAAATATAGAAACACATTAAACGCATCCTTCCTCTGAAGGTTCCTTAAAAGACACGCGCATGCAGCTTATAGGAAAAGACACCAGTGCCATCGTGGACACAGAACACATTTCTATGCACGCGTTATTTAAACTGGGCTTCAAAACCTTCAAAGCTCTCCGATGAGCCTCTGATGGTAAAACAGGCGGCTTACCTTTGAAGAAGACGAACTTGCCATCGCTGTTCTCGTAGACGGCATCTATCTTGGGCGGAAGGCCTCTCCAGAAAACACTGATGAGCATCGGGTAGCCCGGCATCACCGAGTTATCCCTCACCCGCCAGAACCAGTGATCCTGGAAGAGGACAGAAAACCGGGTCACGGATGGATCGACGGCGAGCAACATCCGGGGATCAATGTGCACTGACTCATCGCGCACACGGTGACACGGTAACGCCGGTAGATCCGAACTCCTGATCGCAGAGAACCAACCCTCCCCCATCCCCCCCCCTGTTTTCAACCAGCGATGATCGACTCGAGCTGCTGCCCTGATGGCCTGTGACGGCTTTAAGATCTACCTTCTCGGGTTGCTCCACACACCTACAATACCATACTGGGGAGGGGGGGGGGGGGCAAAGTGATAGCCAGGAGCTTTATGAGAGGGCCAAGCCGGTCTTATTTCCTATGGGGGGGTCGGGGGGAGGAGAGCCTGGCCAAGTAGAAGGGGTGTCTTTTTGATGTGGGATGAAACTGGATAACAGAGGGGGCCGAGGGGGGGGGCGGGGACCCAGCTGCGAAAGCCATTAGGACGCCGCGAGGCGTCCCGCCCTTTGGCAATGAGAGGCTGATTGCGTCCCCTCCAAGAAAGCCCGAAACCTCACAGCAAGGGGACGCAGAGGGAGGGAGGGGGACATCATCACGCCCCGGCCTCATTCGCAGTGAAAGCTAAATAAACAGCCCATTTATCAAATACTCGCCGCTCTCCCCTTCTGTCTAATCCGATCGGTTCTCGCTCCCTGGACTCTTCCTCTTTCTTTTCATTTCCACTTGTCCCTCATTCCAATTTCTGCGTCTCTTCCTCCCCCGTTTGCTCGCTTGCTCCATACCTGCTGCCTCCCTCCGCTCCCCCGACCATAAATTTCAATTGTTCAGCATTTTCCTCCGTACGGGGACCCGGCCTGGTAATTGAAAACAGATCAAACTGAGAAATCTGACCCATTTGAATCCTGACTTTATAAAAGAGAAAATGCTTTTTCTCACACTCTGAAAATAAAGCTCGGGCGATTTGATTGTAGGATATTTCCGCCGGCTACATAGAAGAATAGAGTTTAAATCGGCGTAGGTGAATTTTTATTCTCAAATTGTTCACGTCTGTGGTTTCATGCAGAGCCGTAAGGGGATTACAATACGCCCTGTATAGATCAATTCTGCTATTAACTGATCAGATTATTAATTAAATGGACTTTGAGAGGAAGAGACAGTCAGACACAATTTAAAATCATGAAAGTATTCAGTTTTTTTTAGCTAAACCCAACAAAATGTGTAAAGCTTTATTCAACTTAAAATATGAAAATAAAGTAATACCTACACACACATATGTATGGGGACGACATTTTCTTAAATGCAAAAAAAAGGAACAACAAACTAGAGCACATATATATAACCTGCTTCTAATGCAGATGATAAAACACGAGAAGGACACGGAACCATCATGACAATTGGATACGATGAAGATGGTTGGAAATCATTGTGTGTGGATAATAAAAAAGAAAACCAAACACAAACTTTTGTCATCAGACATCCAGCAGCATGTGTGTGTTTGAGGGAGCCGTGAGCGGAGAAGATGACAGACAGCGGCGCTGTGGTTAACGTGGCGCCCGGCCTTTCTCGCCTCGACTCGGCGCAGGATGCGGGTTTAAATAATTCAGGCGGTCCGAGGCTTGAGCAGAACCGCGACTTTTATATCCTTTCATTAGCATTCCTTCTTACTCGGCAGCGTCCGAGTTCATTTATACACGTAGCAATGTTTGTGCTAAGCTAGGCTAACGGCCTCCTCGTTCTGTTTAGCGTACGCGGTGTCGTTCTCTGTCTTTGTGTCAAACACATCTACGATGGAGCTGCCTTTGTCGGCACACCCCGCTGTAGCAGCATTCTCCCCCCCTCTCTCTCGCTCTCCTCCCGATTACAGGGGGGAGGGGGACACTGAGCAGAGCGGAGGGCTCGCTGCCCACTTGGCCACCGTGTCCTCATTAAAGGACGTCGGGATCAAAGCTTCGCGTCCAACGCCGGCGGCGCCCGAGAGGCCGAGATCCTGAACCGCGAGGCACCCTGCGGCGTCCCAGAAACCCCCCGCTCTGAATCCGTCCACAGCGGCGGTCTCTCACTGACCCTCGCTATGAGGACGGCGGCGTTTGCCCCCCCATCACAGATGACTGAAGGCCGGCAGAATCGCATCGATGGTCGCTAGCGACCGTCAAAGGGGACAAAGCCCCTGAGGACAAAGAACAGGTCCAACCAACAGCCGCACGCGTGAGTGACGCCATGCGGCCTGAGGGTTCGCGCGTAGGTTGAACCTGGAGCGCCTGCCGCCATAAAAGATGTAGCGGTGTAACGTGACCCGGGCTTACGCTGGGAACACCGGATCCTCCGTCGCCCCGGAGGAGAGAAAAACGATCGGCCGTAAAAACCAGCGCCTTAACAAGCGTGACTCCTAACCTGCGCCCGTGTGGGTTATATGGCCTCGAATAAATCAGGGAACAATACGTGTTGCTCCTTCTGTTCCGCTCGGGAAATGGAGAGCGTTGATGTTCTTGTTATTTGGTTACTTTACCGACCAACTACAATCTCCAACCTCCTGTATGGGTACGTAATATAATAGGCGAAGTTAAAGAACCGCAAAAAGGTTTTTACACACACCCGTCTAAAGCATTACAATAATTACTTAAATAACGTCTTCCGTTGCTCTAAAAGGCAGCTTTCCTACGTTTCAAAAAATTAACCCTGATGATGTCATGAGGGTCACTGCGTTTTGGGTTTTGAAGTTGCAGGTGGGTTAGAAAGATGGGGGCACTTAGGAGGCCGTCTGTGCAATCAAAGACACTTTGGGGTTGCATCATGGGAAGTGTAGGATCCGGCGCTTTGAGGCTCGACCGAAGGGCTAAAAGGTCAGGAGATCTTTTAATAGAATCAGCGTCTTAATGTGTCTGCCAGCTTCACAGAAGTAACTAAATGAGTCATTTGCTGCACTACAAACGTCTGCTGTAATACAGAATACATTTGCCTTCATGACTGCATATATTTACATATGGAACAGGTTTGTTTTCGCTCTTGATGAGCCGCACTACATTGTGATTCTGAAAGTGGAACATTTTAATATTTTTGTAAAACATTAACCTCTGTCCCTGAGGGGGGGGAAGGGTGATGCCTGCTTTCAGCCCCGTGGGTTGTCATCAAAGGTCCCAGTGCATTTCAATATCAGAACTAACTGTTTACCTAACAAAGGGCTGTATGAAGAGGAAACACTGCCTGGCAACAGCAGACATTTACATTATTTTACAAGTTTCAAAGGAACAAAAACGAGCTAAACGGGAATAATGACATGGACGGAAATATTCTGCAGGGATCACTCATGAACAAGATGTCTGTAAACATCTACTTCACCATGACCCTCCTTTTCTTCGCCTTGTTCCAAGGATCCATTCTGAGTTGTGCTAAAACACGGACAATGCGGGTCTAAATATTTGGTTGTGGTATTGCAGAAGTCTAAAACAGGTCATGATTTTTGTCAGTGAGAACAAACAAAAGCACACGATGAATCAATCTCGGTCAGAGTAACGAGGCAGCTTCTCCTTCACAGGAAACCTCAGTGCTTTCAGTGTATTCCACCAGATAATCTCTCCTAAAGTCTTTCTAAACCCCCCCCTGGCCACCCCGGCCTCTACAATTTCTCATTGCCGGGCCACCTGTGGACCTCGGGAGCCGAGAGGCTGCCGGGCTCTCTGCTGTAACGACTTGGCGTCGGCTCGACTTTGCGCCTCCAAAACAATCAGGTGGGGACGGTGAGCGACGCCAAGCACTTCCAGCCAAATGGACGCACACGAAGTAACCAAGAAGACAATCAATCGTGTGAATCCCTCCCCAAAAAAAGGAGATGAAAACAAGTCTCAGAAAGTCAAATAAAACTGAAACCAGACGTATGTACAAGTGGTAAATCATTTCCTTTCCTGTCAGCCATCGTTTTAAATGGCTTTTAAGTCTAATGCATAAAACCCTGGCTTCCTTTTAAAGGCAATATATCAAGCTCTGGAGTAAAGCACACATCTCCAATTAGGGATCCAGATGAAGCATTTTACAGTTGGGCAGCTTCCTCCAGCAGGAGGCTAGGAGGCATTAACGTGATACCTCAGCTGGCACCGCACTCACACAGGACCAAGAAGTATTAGGACCACCTGCTCCTCCCGTGAAAACAACGCTTAACAGACAGGATCCACGGCGGCCCGGGATGGATTTCATCGCCGCTTTCACTCGCTGGCTTGAATGTGGATTATGCACAAAAGTACGAGTAGATCATAAATGAGTCATGATATCACCGGTGGTCCCAGCGATGTGAACACTGCGGATTCACATCTGCACTCGCTTGCGTCCCGTAACAAATCATCCCTTTCTCTCTTCCACGTCGATGCCCACTTCACCGCTTTCATTTAGAGAATGGTACAGTTCTAACACCTGATCTTAAACCTGGATTACAGCACCGGGATGTTTCTGTGCTTTGGATGTTTTCACAATGACGATACACAGTATTGTGTGCATTTTCATTTAAGGTATTAATTGGAAAGCTGGCTGCAATAAGCACAGTTTAAACGAAGTGGGGGAGCCTTGCTGTTTGTGCTGAACACCAATTTACACGAGTGGCCCCTGTGGATCGGCCTCCAGAGAGACTTATTTGGCACACAGGACTGAGGACTCAGACAGTTTTCACTATGAATTAGGCTCCAGTTTCCTTGCAGGAGGATTTATACACGAGAAGCTTATGAATTGTTTAGTAGATGTTTTAATTGCACACGAGTGTACGTGCAATTCAAAGCATTATATTACACTAAAGGGCACTTTTTGCTTCAGCTTTTCTGGAATTTTTAAAGTCAAATGATACTTTCAAGCATGAAGATGATCAGGGCCTGCAACTTAGAAAGTTTAAGATTTGTATTAAAAGTTCACAAATACACAGATTCAGAAGAACAATAGTTTTTCCACACAAGCAAACCAAACAGACGTTTGGGGCCGTTGAGTCTAGTTTGAGTCAAATACCTTCACAGGTAGCAGCTTTGGTTCCAAGATGGATTCATTTCTTTGAGTGTAAAGTACACGCTGTGAGAAAGAAGGAGCGCGGGGGAGAGAAAGCCTTTTCTCCCCCTCGCTCCACAAGCCTCCTGTTTAGCCATTGAATTCCATCTATTTATATCCTCAGAAAAATACAGTCACACTCTCAAAGCTTCGGAAGCACTCTTTCCCCTTTATGTGAAGGACACGGGACATCTTTGTGTTGCCCCAAGGTTTTTTCTCTGTTCTTCAGCACATGTTGCCAAGGTCTAGTATTCACAGGGTTGGACCAAGGACAAAGATGCATTAAGGGACATGTGGACCTTTTCTGCGATACAGGAATCAGAACCTGGCTGAGTTTGTCGGGAGAAAGACACATTGTGATGCACTGTGCAAGGCGTGGTGGGGGACTTTCTGCCTCACTCCTGCTCAACCGGCTCTAAAGTAGAGCTGCTTTTAGACACAATCGCCACTTTGATCGCACACTGCAATACACAAGCAATAGTTTTCAAGATAATTGAGGAGAATCCACCATATTTCTACAAGCCATATTTACAGTGTAAACCCTTTTTACCAACGTGTGAAAAAAATAAAAAAAAATAAAACACTATTTATATAAAACCCGAGCCACCCGTTGCCACTTTATGCACACAATGCATGTGCAGAAGATGAAGCAGATTAGCAGAGAAGCTCCCGTTGCTCTGAATCAAAGGATGAGCACTCATGATATATTATGTTATATCTTACAGCCAGAAACATGCAGACAAGGACTCTCTACAGACATACACCGTTTCCTTTTTAGGAAAAAAGAAACTACCCTTGCAGGAAGATTCTTGGGCCAGATCCAAGTCGAAGATGACTCAGAATGTGGTTTGGATTTGGCGGACTGGTCACTGACCTTGAAGACGAACATCTCCCTCCTCAGTATGGCGAGGGTGTTGTAGCCTCCGTCGCAGATGTTGGGTTTGGCGTTGGGGTGCGACGGCCGGTCTCCCGTCGGAAGCCTCGGAGGTCGCGTCTGCCGGTCGGGTTTACGGGGGTCTGATGGAGGATGGGAGCGGGGAGGGGCCGCCGTCGGCAATGGCTTGGTGGGCTGGGGGAGCTTATCGGGAGGCCCTGCAGGCCGACAGAGGAAATCAGCTCACTAGTTTCCATTCGTGTACAGAGGCGACACCTAAAACATCCACCTTTTTCTTTGACAAGATACTTTGGGTTAAGTGGTTTAATTTGGACCGAACCTTCTAGAACAACAACATCATTTAAACACAACGCAAAGGAATGCAGATTGATGCATTGTGAAGGGTATTAAATCACAGGTTTAAACTGTATAAGAAATGTATTTCTGCATTTTGAAGAGCGAGATGAGATTATTTACGCCACTCTCGTGTCTCTACACTACAGATGTAGGACAAAGCCTGGCTGTCTTTATGCTAAGCTAACCAGCAGCTGCCTCAGAATTAACTCGCAGTCAAATGAAGCAAGGAAATATCGGACAAAGCAGTAGAGAAATTTAAGACCGCTAATAATTGGAGACTGATTGTACAGATTCAGGCTCTGCTCATTATGGATGTTTCTAATTTCTCTGACTTTCAAGGGAAAGTTTAGAGTCACAAAGGAAGGAAGGTAACATATGCTGAAGGACGAGCAGCTGCCCGACAGGACTGAGATCTACCTTTAACTATTTGGGGCAACAATTAATTGACTAGTTGTGGACAAAAATTGTGTTCATACGTATGTACAAGAGTTGTTAGATATTCGAGGATGTAAACATGCTTGCAAACGGAGGGTGAACCACTTTCATTATCGCTGCGCCATTGACCTCCGCCCATCAACCTGAGCTTCAGCAGAGCCACGTATTCTAGCACCTGCAGCTTAAACCACAAAGCCAAAGGAAAGGGAAAGATATGAAGACAAAATAGAAAGAACACATGAGAGGTAGCGGAGGAGATGGGGAAAAAAACAACATGAGGTCATCCGTGGGTGGAGTTTCACACTGCCAAGTTTCGGCGATTCAGCTCACCGAAGCATAATATGATATGTTAAGATGAATAAAACAGAAATAAGGAGCATACGCTTTCAAAGTATACTGCCGAGATAAAAATAAAAGTTCCTCCCAAATGGAGGGCCCGGGCGTTGCTTCACATCCATGATTTACACGAGAAGAAGAGGGCGGGGAGACATGCAGAGGGGAAAGCGGAGCGAGGAGAGAGGCGGACGGAGGCCAAGCGAGTGGGTTGCGTGTATGAATAATTGAACACGTGACGACGGCCAAAGAACACGCTGTGTTACTGCGAAGGACCCGGATGCTCGTAGCCGTGTGTTGATTGGGGCAAACGCATGCGGGGAGGCGAACAGGCGAACCCTGCACCCCCACGGCAACGAAAAGTATCCAGAAGTAACGGTGGCAAAAAAAAACCGACGTCGGACGCAATTGGAAAAATTCAGGAGCCGCGAACGAGCGACTTAACGGCGCGGCAAGCGATTTTAAAGTCAGCGAGTGAGAAGAGGATAAATCGAGCCTTTCACCGGAAGACAAGCCGTCTAATGGGTTGACACGCACAGGCTGATGGCGGGGATGGGGAGGCCACGCCGGCCCGCTGCTCCGAGTCCACTCGCTGAACGAATGGAATCCGAAGCACTCCGCTCTGTTTTTAGGGCGGGCCGGTGGTTTTTATTAACATATCGCCCAATCAGGGTAACGCGAGAGGGGCGATCTGAGATGGAGCTTTGACGTAAGGGAACCTTTAAGCTTTCTGCCAGCAACACAGTTAAAGCAATCAAAAGAAAATCCGACTCGGGTTGTGACAAATAGTTTGAAGCTTAACATAAGACATCCAGTCATCTGGTTCTCAGTAGTATGGGGTCATAATTCAGAATATGAGGAATAAATAAAGCCAGCGGGCTTTCGTTTTTTCGACAATGACCTTCGTGCTGAGGCAAGAATCAGCTTCCTTCAGTTCATGTCAAAGTGTGAGAGGGAATCGATCCTCCACGTCCAGCTCAGCCCGGTCACAATCTCCCCACAATTCACTGTGAGATCCTGCCTGTTAAATCGTAAATTCACCCCCCTCCCCCCCATCTACACTACAACACGGCTTTACTATATGACCAGTATCTCACTGTCCCTGTTTGACCTCCACGCTGCTGCCACGAGGAAGACAAAAGAAGGCCATCGGCTCCTGGAAAAAGAAAGTGCGACTGCGAGAGGAGCCGGTGTCGCCCGTCCTGCCCTTCAACCCTCGGTGGGCGAGGGAGGGGCGGTAAACGCGAGCAGGGATGAAGAGCGATTTGATCGCTGGCCCAGGTCTGTCACTCCCGGGGGGACGTGGGCCGACCATGTAAGCAGATGGCAGGTTCTTTGGTGTGTCTGTGTGTGTGTGTGTGTGTGTGCAGCCATTCACGTGACAGACCGGAGTCAGCGAAGTGTGAGCGCTTTACAGCCTCGACAGCTGTACGAGACAATACGGTCACTTCCCGCCGAGTTGCGTTTTGAACTCGGATGTCGAACTGAGGTTGAGACGACGAACGCAAACAGCAAAATGAGCACCTGTCTGGATCGAGGTCTTGGGCAACACCCCGTGTACCACTAATTCAGTGCGTAAAAATGACGACTACACAGACGCTTACATCAATCTAGTACCGTCAAATTCAATTTCACACTCCTAATACGTCCCCCCCCCGGAGCGACATCAGCTTTATGTGTTGACAAAGCACGACAATCACGGCATCTGCGTGTCGGTGAGGAATGTGTGGGTGCTGTTATATTTAGATCCAAATCTCAGATCTGTACTTCATCTGGGATACCGGGAACGACAGCAAAAGTCTTTTGGGAAATCATCTTTGCGCCGTTGACTAACGGCACAATAATCCCTAAATCGGACTGGTGCTCACGAGCGCCGTGTGCGTCTACGGGGGAAGCTCAGCCGGCCTTACCGTAAATCTTCTGGATGCCCAGCAGGTCGTCCATGGGCAGTTTGAAGTTGTCGGTGTCCATGTACTGGTAGAAAGGCGCCATGATGGCCGTCGGGTCGTTGGAGTGCTCCAGGCCCAGCGCGTGGCCGAGCTCGTGGACCGCCACCAGGAACAAATCGTTGCCTGGAAAAAAGGGAAAAGGAGCGAGCAGTCGCTGTTTTAGTCACATCAGCCACGAGCTGCACCCGTTTTTTTCCCTCCGACATAAAGCCACGTTTTGATTTAAACCAGCAGCCTTGGTTGGACAACAAAAAGCGGGTATGCGCGCGCACATCTGTCAACATGTGTGTGTACGGGCGTAGATAATCCACTACTTATGAACATCATGAGTGGATTATGTAGCGAGCCACGGCCACTGATGGGACATATTACACAGGCCGGTAGACACACACACAGAGAACCCTGCACTCTGTAATTAGTCTTGAGCTGTGGTAAGCCGGTGACTACACTGGGTTGACCTTTTGACCCAGAAGCCCTCCGTGGCTGACAAACGCGCCCCAACCCAATCCCAGCTGTATTAGCTTTTGGATATTTAAGATTTAAAGCATCCCCCGACCTCCCGCATCCATCAACGTCCCGCTCAAAATATTACGTCACCGGCGACCCGAACAACAATGAAGCCCACTCCTCTCCGCTGTGGTGCTTTGAATGGCGCCCATGAAGGAGCTCGTGCTCGTGTTTGGGAGAGTAACGGGTGTGCGATCGGGGTCGGGCTGCTGCGCCTTCTGTATAATTCATCGTGGAAAGCAGGCTGTCTGTGTGACGCTAATCATGTGATTCCGAAGGGAGATGCAACGCCTCAAAATGAATTTACTTCAAAGGAGACCCGCCTCCACCCTTCCGTGACTCTGATGTCGTAGCGAACTGCGTTATACTGGGATTAAAAACCACACATTTTAAACCGTTTTCCGGAGAAATTTGACCTGATCTCCGTTTCAAGGTTGCCCGCCCGGCGCTCTTTGCCGCCGTCTCTCTCGCAGCTTTTACTCTTCTCTCTTTGTCTTTTCTTATCGCACCGAGTGACTCGACGGGAATGAGAAAGAGCATCGCTTATTCATCGCGTATCCTACTAAAGTGAGGCACTTATCCGCTGCATATCTGTCACATGAATAACGCATCAGAAGATTCAGATCGCTCTCCTACACAACGCTCAGGGACGTACAGTTTAGGCCCCAGAGAAAAGGTCCTTTTGCAACCTTGGGGAGGACGTGCGACTGTACAGATGTTGGTGCGTTAATGGCCTCAGACACCCTGAATTAATATCCAGGCCTTTGATGAAAATGCTTTATTCCTCACCTTAATTCTCGCGGCTGGTGAAAGTGAACAAACACGAGGCAATATTGTGGCGTTTAAGAGTTTAAGGCAAATGAAGAGCCGCAGAGGAGGAGGGAGAGAGGGGAGAAATCACTTGTGGAGGAAACGGGAGGCGAGGAGCCGTTTGTTTGCTGTGAGCTCCCTGACGCAGGATTAGTCAACGCTCATTGTGCTACAGACGCTGGTAGAGTGTGTATCGCACCGACAGACCGCAACGCACGGTGCAACTCATCACTGTCCGGGACGCCACGGAGAGGTTCGTCTGATATGCATGGAGTTCGTGATACGAACTCCATGCAGTAATTACTGAGATTAAATGCCATGGAATTTAATGCAGAAAGTTGTAAACTGTTATTGAAATCACAGTGGCGAAAACATTTGGGTTCATCAAAATCTAAACGGAAAATAAGATTAGATTAGATGATCCCTTTTGTTAGTTCCAGAGTGGGGGACAGGAAATAAAAACAGAAGAAGCGCAGTAAATAGTAAACCGCAAAGGAATAATAAACAAGTTCCAATAAAACCAAAACCAATAAATGCACATTAATTGGAAGTTTTTTTGTACAAAAAATGCAAGAAACTGTGAAGAATGACTACGCTTTTGTATGATAAATAAAGTTAATTTACAGTAAAAATGAGAGCTGTTGGTCAACGTCCGTCCGTCTTTTTCTATCTCCGTCCTGCTCAACCTTGAGTCAGACTCTCCGTCCTCCTGGGGACGTCATCGGGGAGGTCATCGTCGTCACTTTGTTTTGGTTGCTTATGTAACTCTCGCCGTGGTGGGCGGGGTCATCCCGTTTGCCCGGGGGCCACAAACAAGGCCGAGGAGGTTTGAACTGACCGGCCAATTAGTCCGCTGGACGTTCAGTCCGTGGCAGGAGACGTTAAGCGAGACGGGAGAGAGAGAGAGAGAGAGAGAGAGAGCGCATGAGCGAGTGGGAGAGAAGCGAGAGAAAAAGTTGCGTGAGGGAGCCGTGGGAGATGAGTGGGAGACAAAGAGTGGATAAATACAGATGTTAAAAAGGTAAACTGTGGGGAAAGGGTGTTTGGATTGAGAACTGCAGGAAGTGTGTGTGTGTGTGTGTGTGTGTGTGTGTGGGGCAGGATGATAAATAGAAGGGGAAAAACAGAGGCGAGCACAGCGATAAGGCTCAAGACTATTTGTTACTTTACGATACGTTGTAATGGTCCTGCAATCGCAAAAGATGGGGGTGATGGATTATAGAACTGCGGCCTTTGACCTTTTCGGCATTTCGGCCGGTGGCCGTATCGGAGCGAGCGGGCGTCAGCCGGCAGGATTCAGCCGGCAGGAACTGAGCACAAAAAGCATCCAAGGCAACCGTTGAGCTAATAAAAGCTACATTTGATGTCAAGTCCCAAAAAATGCTTTCATGCTGGGCAGCGACGGACTCTCTCCTCAGGGTCAAGGTTGCTGCTAATGAGATGGCGCAGCCAAGAGAAAAAATCCCCCAAAAACATGAAGGGAGGAGGAGGAGGAGGAGCGTCACTGGAGATTTACAATCAGATGTGTCTCTCTCCGTCGGGGGAACCAGTAAAGTAAACTGGGGTTGTGATTAGAAAAGTGTAACCCCCCCCCGACCGGCCCGGCTGCGCACGCCGCTGCCGAGCGCGGCCCCGCCTGCCAGGCTGACTGCCCCCGGGGAATATGAGCCATAAACACTCAGAGGCAGACGCACACAACCGGCCCACAAATCAGGCACGGGGGGCCCCCCCGGACACCGCCCGTTCACCTGCAGTAATAGCTCAGGTTGTCAGTGCGGGGGCCCCCCTGGGGGCCGGTAACCTGCTCTGCTTCTAACGCTTTAACCAAGCGTCCGTGGTCCGTCAACAAGACGTCGGCTACCGGCTCGTCTCTCACCGTCCCCGAGCTCCTCCGTCCCCGAGCTTTGGGAGACAGAGCTGGGACTGTTATCTCACTGCTGCCGGGTCGCCGTCCAAGTCGGAGCAGGCACAAGCGCTCTCTTTGTCCCCAGGAGCCCCCGAATGTTTCCCGTTGTTCCGCCGTGGCTCCTCCTCGCCCCCCCGCTGACGTTTGCACTCTCTGCCGCGCTGTGGAGAAGACGCAAAAGCAGGAGGCCAGAGAGAGAGAGAGGGGCAGCGCCGAGGAGCGCCGGGCTGGACGGGCTGCTGGGGGAATCGCAGCCCAAGCGGTGCGATCAGTGCCTGGCTCGCGGGGCCCCGGGCACACAGAGCTCTCCGCTGGCTGTCAGAACAGAGCTGCGTGCCGGATCCCGACAGAGTGACCATTGTGAAGAATGCAGCCAAAGCACAATGGCTGCATTCTGCCTCGCTTCACATTCACACACTCTCTCTCTGTTGCACACACACACACACACACACACACACTAAGGCGCTTGATTCATTTCACCAAATCAACTTATAGAACCAACGAGTACAAACGCGGAGGTGTTCACATGAGACATGTTGGAATGAAATGTTCATCCCTCTGCGGTTTGCTGCGCATGTGATCACGACCAATAAAGCGTTACCCCCACCCCCCTACCGATGTCTTAAATAACCCCTCCCCCGCAGAGGCCATGTTATCTACATCAGTGGTCCCCCACCATCATCACCATCATGTCAGACAATATTTCGCAGACCGGTCGGGGGGGGATGTAGTAGTCGCGCGCTCTGTGTTCGCTGGTGGGCGAAACTGCCGTGCACGGTAGGAGGACAATTGTAAACGTGAAGAAAAACGCCTGGTGACGCGTGGGGAATCTGTCAGAGGGACGAGCGCACATAATTTGGAGAAAATCCGGTCAATTTTCAAAATAAAACATTTTTCAAAAAAAAAAATATATATATATACATAAGCTTTCTGTGGTGCGGCCCAGCGGTTGGGGACCTCAGCCCGGGCATCTTAACACGCCAAAGGTGCTTCCAACGGTTGCATAACAGTAACTTCTCTCTCTCACACACTACTGAATGTTCTACACTTACTTCTCACGAGCTTGTCGGAGATCAAAAGCCCGGCTGATGGGAGCAACATGTGTAAACTGGAGTAATCATTTATTCATACAGATGCAGCTAGAGAATCTGTGTGTGTGGAATATTGCCAAGGCTCCAAAATGTGGCCGGCTGCGTGTACTCGAGGAGAATGACCCAGCGGAAAGGGAAGGGGAGGGCCGTTGCCAAGGAAAGGACGTCCTCTATTCCCGTCATGTTTTATCTCTGCGCAGCACCTGTGAGCCGAGACCAGGACCTGTGTCCACGTTTCACTGCGATCATTTATGCAATAAATATAGCATTTGCCAACCAATGTGTTTGGGGCAAACACCATGTACACACCACATCACACTCTTGCATACTTGTCGACACAACAACACATGCAATGTTACCTGCATCCACCGTGAATGCTTGCAAAAGACGTTTCCTGGAATGAAT